CTTTAGAAAGTGAACACTGAAAGGGGGGGGGGGGTTTGATACTCAGTCTCGGTAAATGGATGTTGCCTTCCTCGCGGAGTTGAACTATTTCCCATTTATGGTTTTTTAGGGGAATGCTACGCATTTCTCCGACGAAAGAGCCAGCTCTATAGTCGTAGTGATCTCCGGAAGTGCCCATTTCAAGGAAAAGTCCTCGGATTTAGCCGTACACCGCGGCGACGTTGTCTTTATTTCTGCTACCATCGGTGAGGTTCACATTTCAAATCCATCTTTGGATTTCCTATGTTTCCGAGCGTTTACTCCTCATCGATAATTCGCTGATGTATCTCGCATACCCTTTAGTACTGCAAACATATTCAGTCATATGTTGAGACATATAGTGATTGAACCCTGCCAGAGCTTCGTTTGAGGATTCCAGTAGTTCTCTCTGCGTCCGACTGATGCCCACGTCTTTGACCTTATGTATGCTTTATGTGATTTGTGTTCTCTGCCATTCTAGTCGCAAAATAATTTATCACAATCTCTGGTAGACGGAAGAGAATATCAGTCATAGTTCATAGTTAGCACGACATATAATAAGTTATAATAAACATACTTTGACCTTACAAATATTGCCAATGTTTCCCTGTGCTTCCCTGGTCGGGCAGTAGGAGCTCGTCTTTTGTAGTGTTATGCAAAGATAAATTATTCAGTGGACAAGGATTGTGAACAGATCTAGTGCTTGCTCTGATTCAGTTGTTTTGGGAACACCAAGTAGATTGCACTATAGCCTCAAAAGCGGAAAAGAATTATATACGGTCTAAAGGCTCCTAAAAAACCGGAAGACGCAAGTAGATACTGGTTCACTAAGTCGTTAGCGGCTCCGCTATGTTCTGTCAAACAGTGGCAATTTGGACTCCTCGTTTTCCTTGATTTTCTTTTCACAAGCCGATATTCCTAGTATTGGGTCGTAAATATCGATCTGATCCAAGCCAACGTAAGAATACTCATTTCTTAGTCCTTCTGCGGAGAATTCAATCTGAATGTGATTCTTTCAAAGGAAATTGCCTGCAAAGCCTGCTTACGGATTCATAGGTTCCATTATGGAGGTAGACCTTCTCGCAAATCCAGTGGTGTCCATCACCGCGTACATCGCCACTGCTGTAGATCCTTAATTAGCAAAGCAGTTTATGAGAGCAGTGTCTCAAATATGTATTTATACTCGAGGAATCATCATCTGGATTACCTCGTCCTGTCGTTTTCAGCACTTCTGGTAATGTAGACGACTAGTTTACTGCGATAACTGGCGGCATAGTAGCAGAAGTCGATGGCAAATGTTCGAGTTAGTTCGAACGGTCCCAGACTCAGCGTAGAGGTTCCTGGTCCTACAGCGTAGGCGTATGCGCCAACTAAATACAATGGTCCTTACTCTAAATGGCCTTGTGTAAATGCATCCTTTCTGAATCTGCACTTGCGAACACAGTCAGTTCCATCAGGGATCAGGCCCATACGCGTTGGCAGCTTCACGTCAGAAGGCACCGCGCGCGGCTTCTCGGCCTCGCCGCGCTCAGATGTTGGCCACACGAAAGATTTCCGCTAGTAGAGATTCCGGAGCAAAAAAACAGGAGCAGGGTGGTCAGATAGATGAATCGACGCCATATGCGTCAGGAGTGCCGGGTCTTACGCTAGTTGAGTCGCGTTACGGTATAGTTGACTGCACGGAATCGCCCAAGTTGAACGCCCGCGCGCTTGTCTCTTGCGGGCTAACATTG